CAATTTTATAGAGAAACTTGAAGTACTCATATGAGCTCTCTTGAACTCTATTTATTCATCGATTTTTCACATGAAAATTTCTCTTGGCCACTTTTAAAAAAGATAAATAACATAACAGTGGCCCGTGCTCAAATCCCACCAGCACTCTCCATCTTCACATAGAGGTGCACCTGAGCCTGTACTTCTTAGGGCTGAAGCTCATAAATGGTGGCAATTTATCACAAATCCCTGAACCCCCCACTCTGCAGCATGAGGAATATACGTTGCCTAATTAACATAAACGAGGGGGAATGCCCTGCATCCTTGAAACGAGGGTGGCCAGCTCTGGAGCCCAGCGTGCACAGAGGTACCCCGTGCTGCCAGTGTTACTCTGGGATGGGATCCAGCTTAGTTGGTGGCACCTCAAACCTCTGCTGGCAGCTGTTCTGGGCCTTGCCCAGAAGCTGGGCTGCTCCTTCACCCCCAGTTCCACATAAAGCTCTGAGATATGACGCTTTATAAAGTGAATTGTAATCCATGTGGGTGGATGGGATCCCACAACGTCCCATGCCATCCCTGTGCCATTCCAGGAGGCTGCCCAGAGGCACGGTCCTGCTCTCCCAGCACCTGTGGGTTGGATGGGGACAGGATGGATCAGTCATGGCTGGGGCTGTTGCATGGAGAGCCCTCCTTGGAGGCTGCAGCACTGCTGGGAGAGGGCGGGCAGCGGGGAGAGACCTCCCCAGGCGGTGGTGGGAGCTGGATCTGGCCCAAGCACAAGGGCACATGGTCTCCAAGATACAGTGGCTTGGGGTAGCTTTTCCTAAACAAAGAGCATTATAAGGGAGCCACTGCTGGAAATTTCCATTCCTTTGTTGGGTAGATGCTGTGTAAATAAATGCATTCCTAAGATTTTTCATAATCCTTGAAAGGTCCGTAAAAGGAACTGTGTAGTTTCTCCAATTGCTGGAGTTCATATATATTATTCCTCAGCTACTGGGAACACGATATACAATGGCACAGAATATAATGCAAGAAACATATGCTAAAGGTCTTCTTAGAAGCACTCTGTGCATTCATATGTGGCATGTACAGATATTTCTTCTGTTTTGCCCTGTGGGATCTAAAATATTCAACCCATATTACAGCTTGGGTTTCTGAATTACTTACCTGAACTCTAAATAATCCTTACCTGACAGGTGACTTCAATGGCAGCATTCAGCTATTCCCTGGTTTCATGTGTGGGTGCTTTGAAAGCATTTATAAATTAGTGCATGAGACAAGTGTGTAAGCAACCTCCTACTTTACTCTTCTGCTTTTTTTTCTCTCTGATTTTTATTTTAGAACCAGTAGATTCAGGAAAATCCAGTTATGATAATGATACTGTGCCTGATGTATTTACAAGTCCAATGGCTCAAAAACACATTTTCAATGTCTTACTTTCTTGTCACATATAAACACTAACTACATACAGAAGAGATTATGTTCCTGTATTCAGTGTATTGTAATGTAAATGCAGGAGTTACTTACATAGTAAAGACTATTGTACCTTCATTGATAGAAGTCAGTTAATTTTCTCAAAATAAACTAGTAACTTCTCCCACTAACTCTACCTCCTTGGACCTGGTTAATCTGAATTTGTAAGATGACTTCCCTGTTTAATGCAGCACAAATATCTCAGAAATTCAGAACAGAAATTGTCCTTTAGACTCCTAGTGCAATGTTTATTAACCTTCTTTTTCTGAACACACTCGGACATTTATCTTATATTTAGACTTTCCCAACAGCAATGCCTATTTTCTCTAGGATGAGTTTTTAAATTTTGAAAATCATATCCCCTAGCAATGCAATTCTACTGGAAAAATATTTAAATTATACAGAAAAAATACTTTTTAAGCACTTCTCATTTTTAGATCTCAAAGTTATAAACAAAAGAGAGCACTTAATAGATAGTTGTATAAAATGCAAAATGTACCTTTTCAACAATTTTCTTCTAATTGTCCAAAATAGGATGTCAACATTTATTTCCTAGATATGCTATTTCTGAGTCAGATCAGAAATGTAAAAAATCGAAAACCCCACAACTGACACAACCTCAAAACTAAATGAAAACAACCCCTCAAACAGGACTATCTCCATAAAGCAGATACTTCTGGCTAGCTGGTTAGCTCTCTAATTTCCTCCTGTTTGGACACTGCCACAGCATCTCCAGTTCTGCAGTGTTCATCCGAGATCCTAATCTTTCATGACCTCAGTACTCTCATTTGGGGGCTACTGTCTCAAAACATTTCAGCCTCCGGGAAGAAGTAGCCTCCTTGTTCAGCCTTTTTGCAAGGAAAGATTATTACAGCAATTGTAGCTCTCAAGATGGAGTAGATTATAAAATCTTAATATGTATTTTGATACGAAATGTTGGTGATGAAGGGCATCAAACTTCAAACTCAATTAATAACGAACTGTGATCCCAGAGACTGCAGACCAGTAACTTATCTACCACCCGAACAGCCGCACAAATCCCTCACATTTATTTTTTCCAGGCTTTCAACTTTGATTAATAACATGGCAAAAGCATGCAAGTCTCAACCATATTAACCACAGCTATATTTTTAGTCTTACTGACACGAACACTTTAATATAATAAAAGGAAAAGGAAAACAGAAGAGGTGTTTCATTAGGACAGGAGGATTACTAAAACCGCTGTGTGGAGCATTTGTCAGGAGGTGGTAGGGGAAGAGTTATTACTTACATTTTAGCATGTCGCTAGGATGCAGAGCAAGAGGCTCCCTCAGTGAGATATGTTTGCTTTGGGAAAAAAAAATGAAGTAGCAGACCATCCAAGCTCTTCTACTGACACATTTATAATACCAAATTGCAAACTCAGTTACGAAGTTTGCAGCACTACACGGAAAACTATTTTTTTTCAATTTTATTATCAAGCCCAGTAAGAGGCAGTGATACCAGATCCAGAAGTTCACAAATTAACCTGCCAGTCCTTTTTTACTGATAGATGGCTACGTGCAAAAATATATGAAGCAAGCAACCTGGTTGGTTAATAAAATAGCCCAAATCACAAACCCTCAGCAAATCTCTTCTTGCAGCTGATTATAGAAACTTATAACCTATTCTAAAAGCATTTATTTAAAAAGAAAAAAAAGCCCCCCCCAAATGGCTGATATAAGCAAGAAACCAGCATTATGACAGTAGAGTAACAGCTTCAAAAGAAATAGAATTTGCCTAATCCAGAATTCTTCAATATTAAAGGTGATTGGCTTCCTGATTTTGTGATACTGAGTCTAGAGTTAAATTTAGCCCAGTTTCCTCATCAGTTGTGATATGACAGAGGTATTCCTTAGATGAGTTTCTGACCCTAAATTCAGTTGAATGAACAGTATTATACACAACATAAACAATATTTGTCTGAGTATGTCATGTGACTTTTTTTTTCTGCATCTGCCTTCCTACACATTTGCACCAGCAGTATGTGTGTAACGATGCCTTTTGTAAGAGATTCAAGCTTTGTAAATAAGAATAATGGGCAAAACCAGTTATACATTTTCTATTTCTAAATCATTTGCATGAAGACAGGTACCCACTGAGGGAACAGAACAAAGAGATAGAGGCACACAGCATCCTAATAGTGACCCTGAAATAACTGCTCAAGACGGCACCCAACTATTGTAGTCATGGACATACTGGAAACACCCAGGTGTCACAGAGGGGATGCAATAGCCCAGCAAAGAGCAGGGAAGAGCAGTAGCAAATACCTTGTCACATATTTACCCTGAGAGGGAAGCATAATTTCTGCTTTCACCTTTTTAGCATTTCTCATGCACAACATCTGCAGTAACAGAAATGCAGGGGACTGGGGAAGGCACACCCCCCCATCTATTCCTACCCACCAGAAAGTGGAGAAACACACAGAAAACCTTTATATGGCACCAGAGAAAGTGAGACCCTATGCACAGTCTTATATGTGAACTTCACTTCCAAAGACATTTATCTCCCACTTGAATGCCACACGAGCCCACAAGAGCCATTCCCATTCATCAGCACTCCTCGTTCTGATATTGGGACTTAGCTTTTTAACTCGCCTGGGCTTGGCTGCAACTAAGATAAACATATTTAGCTGCAACTTTTTTTTTTTTTTCCCATTTCAAAAAGAGGCAAACTGGATTATAGCAAATAACCTTTAAGATAATTAACTGACAATGCTGCAACTAGCATAAAATCTTCCTTCAGGCGACCCCTAATTTAAGTATTACTGGCACAAAGTGGAGACAGATTGTGCATCACCACCGCAATATTTACATAGCAGAAACCCACAGAGCAGGAAACGTGAGACTCAATGATGCACTAAATTAGGAACAATCATATTCTAGTGTTAATTTGCTTTCTCCTCTATCCAAATTTCAGGTCCAGCAATTGGTACAAATGCACATAAAACATTCCCATTTCTAATGATTAAGGACCACAATCTGCAAGCAGCTCTGCTCAAAAGTAAATTCACTCACTAGTGGGGAAGTTTGCAGAATCAAACCTGAAAAAAGCAAAACGGTTTTACCAACACACAGATTTTTTAGAAAACCAAGACCTCCTCATCTGTTCATTTCTTTCCATAAACGATGCCTGCACAAGCATCTGAGTCATCTGCCAGGCTACCTGCCTTTTGATTGCAAATATTTTCCTAAGACAGTAGAACTGTGATTCTGCAGCATAACGGAGAAGCTGTTTTCATTCACCGAGGCTGCAGCCATATGCAGGTACCCCAAACGCTGTGTAATCAAAGAATGAAAGTTGAAATGGGGAAAAAACCAAAACAGTCTACTTGTAATTATTTAGGGAAGTGACACCTTTAAAATAAATATACACTCTATAGTCTATCCAGACACAACATTCACGAGCACTACTCTTGGTTACAGCACACGTCATAAGATAAATGCAAAGAGCCATCACCAATCTTTCTAAATCTTAAATATTATTCAAACTTGTTTTCCACTATGGCATATTAGCAAAATATTTACCTTGCCTAATCGCTGATGTTCTTCAAAAGCAGAAATCAGTTCTTGTGCCCACTTTATTTTTTCAGGGCTTGGAGAGAACTGTTCCTGGACAACAGCAATTTGGTTGGGGTGAATCACCTGCTTACCTACAAAGAAGATTAATAACACCAGAATCATGCATCGACAAACAGATGTTCAAGCAAAATGTTCCAACCACTTGAGGCTCTCATATGCCTTGCAGACTTTCTTGCTCTTTAACTAATTATTTTACTTGGTTTATTTTTTAAACTGGACAACAAGCAGGTAGCCTTTTGCCACATTTTTTTAAGAATAAAAATATCTTGAGCTATGTTTGCATTCCATCTTGTACAATTCTTTCTCCTCCCTCCCTATTTCAATCCATATATCTTCTCTCGGTTGTTTCAGGTGCAATTGTTTGTCCAGACTAGTCAATAACACTCAAGTATAATGCACTGCTGACTTAAACTATACCAGTAACAGCTCCAGCCACGTATATCTAAGTTATGTTTAAAAATATTCAGAAAATGGGATCTGAAGAAGGTAGCAAGAGATTTGTGGGAGATGTCATGTAAGGATCATGCCCTAAATTCTTGGTATTGACTTGGCATCATAAAAATCCTTAATGTTGTTGAAACCATTGTTCTTGCAATAGTTTGCAGTTGCAGGTAGGTTGCAATATCTGTTCAGTCACTGGTGTATTAAACAACTACCAGCAGCGCCCTGGGTTTTATGAAGTAGGTTTTTTTTAATCCTTTCTTGTATAAATGTACATTAAGAAAATGAAAATAGCTGTTGCCTTTTTTTTCTAGAGATTTTCAAACGTGAATAGACAGACACATAATCTGCTTCAATCTGTTATTACATTTAGCTGCCTTAAAACAAATACATCTCTCATTTGTTTGACAGTTTTAAAAGTGGAACTTTTGACGTTATTAGCTGATTTCTAAGGGATTCCCACAGACTGGTGTGATTACAAAGTATTTTAAGAAAGAGAGGCGACCCTCATTCCCAGCTTCCCGCGGAATAAATGATTCTCCTTCGTGCCAGATAACAGAACTAGTTGGAGGGATGAGCCTGATCCTGCAAACCTGCCATCAAGTGAGCGTTCCCTGCGGACGGAGGGTCCCACAGCCACACCGCGCACTGCAGCCTCTCGTGGGAGCCAGATTGTTGCAGGCAAGGAAAAATTGGAAGCATCAGGACCTCAGGAGGCTTCCTGAGCACACCAGGGTCTGCTCCCGTGCTCTTACTGACATGAAGCCAGCTGTACGTTAGAGGCAAAATCTGGGGATGCAGCAGCACCATCAACTTCATGTAACGAGCAAGGAAACAGTAACGGTTTAGTGTCGCTTTGTTTCTTTGCTAAGAAGCCCTGAGTAGCTGAATTGTAATTTATTTCCCATTAAACAATCTTTTAGTTTGTGATCTTAAGGGCATTCAGGTATTCCCTTTGAAATTTCAAGCTGGTAATTATTTTAAAAATAGCTTAAAAAATAATGACAAGTTTTAAACTCAGTACTTTTAAAAATAAATTTTGTGGAGACAAATTTCCTTAAATAATGTGTCTTACATGAGGTGTAATCAAAGGGGTTTTTTTTTTAGTCAATTTAATAGAATGTCACCATTAATAAGCTTATGATGTTCCTTATTTATAATACAACAGATTCTCCCTGGCTCAACTAATAATTTGAAAACTTAAAGGTGTACAAATAAATCCTGCAAAATCCTATGCAGCTTAAATTTCTGGGAAAAATCTAGAGTGTATTTTAAATGTCATTTAAAGTCCATCTAAAAATGTAAGAGAAAGAAAAATATTTATACATTATTTTTTAAAGTATAAAACATTTATTTTAAAAAGATTTGCTTGTGATAAACATATTTGTGGTGTTAAGCTGTATTTTTTTTATCATTAAAACACCACTGAATAATTTCCAGATAATATAAGCTAACTTTTGATGTCCAGCACTCAGTTGATTTTTGTCACTGATTATGTATCTAAATAACTGTATAACAGACATAATGCCATGCAGGAACGAAGCAAATATTTCAAATGGAACTTTTTTATTGACAAGTTACTGAGAGAGTGCAAAATTGGAAGACATTAAAATTCATGGCCATTAAATCCTTTTTACAGTACTACTTGATATATCGTGCTTTAAATCAATACTTGTCAAGTCTTTTAGGTAACTGTATGAAGGTGTAATTTTAGTCTTTTACAAAAGACTGCAAAAAAGTGAGGAAGCTTCTAGTGTTTCATTTTTATTTATATCTGTTTCTCAGCACATAGCAGAGGACTTTCTATAAAGGCAAAATCAACTGTCAAAGCTTATGGCAAGGTTTACCTAATTTTTTACATAAACATTCCTAAAACTGATGACTATTTATACAAGCAGGTCTGATATTGTAAAACATCTTGCCAGGTGTGTACGCGTGTGTGTATATATATTTAGATATCCATCAAAGAATAATATAATATATAAAATATATGTTATATATTTATGCACCCACATATATTGAGCATATACATAAAACCCTCTTAATTTCACTAAATTACATTTTAACATTTTTTATTTTCTGTAATCATACTCACTGAAGGACAAGCAGGTTGCTTATAAGATAACTGGAAAAGAAAACTTGGCTACAATAAGAAGGGAGGGTTACAATAGTAACTAAACAGCTGGTACATTCTATATTTGATATATTCTGTGATTGTATTATTTCAGTTCTTTAAGCTTGACTGTACATATTTGATTACATTAAGGCCAATTCTACTGGTCTAAATCTGAATATGGGAAAATCTCAGGACATACAACTTTCCTGGATATTCTGGGTTTGCTTTAGTTTAGAGGGTGGTGAATTTGTTCCCCTGCATGCAAATCTGTGTGCGCTTTGCCAGCTAAGAGAGCAATCAGGAAGCCTCAGCTCATTTTAGTCCTCTTGCTTTCAATGATTTTGATTCTTTCTGAAAAAGTAGCAGGATGTGATCTTAAATATTTAGAAGTAATAAGGACTGCATGTTTTGAACTTAATAATAAGGTGATATTTCAGTATCTTACTCTCATGTTACTGGAGGACTGTCAGTGGCAAATATGATCTATAGACATCTGCTTTAGACAAGAACATGGATTAAGCTAAGACACGTTTGTAATTTTCTGTGATTAACATTTAATTGGAAATGTTAAAATATTTCCTTTATATAGTTTTGGAACAAAATCATTTTGCTTTTAGTTATGAAATGACATTTTATTTTAATCAAAGCAAGCAATAAAGATTATTTAAAACCTTAAAGAAACTAAAAGAAAAGAAGCTAAAGAAAAAGTAAAACATTTTGAATCAACCTGAAATATTTTTTCTTTTTTACAAAAAATATTTTAAAAACTGATTTGACTTAGAGAGCTTTTTCAAATCATTTATTTACTTACTTATTTATTGCCATCAAACAAGAAAAGTCAGTATTGCCTTGCCTCTTCTCTAGGTATGGTTAGACTGGGGGCTTTTGTTAGATTTTGGAAATGTGTTGATGATCATTGCAGAAAGGCAGGAGGCAAAGAACAGGAGCTGTGAGTTGACCTTAATGAAGTCAGTACCTTTTATAAATCTTTACTCCTTCTATGGAAAAGCAAGATTCTTCTATGGCTGAGTTAGATATTAACTTTATGCCCTAAATTGCCACACATGACCTTTTATTTGTCTGCTATCTGGATCCTATCCTGATGTCAAACAACTTCCACCTTGAAGTCAGAGGAGTCAAAATCACCATCAACATTATTTATGCTGAGCATTTCTACATTTCCTAAACTGGGAGCCTGAGTTAAGTATTTAAACACACGTTAAGCATTCAAAAAGAGTGCTCTCAAAGGTGCCAAGCATCTGCAACTCCATCTTCTGTCAACAGGAAGTTCAAATGCTTAAGTTTTTAAAAAAACAAGCCTTTCCTTATGCTAGGAAATATTGGTGGAGATTAGGTAGGCATCAGTGGGTGCCACCATTCAGGGGCTCTGCTGTTTTCCCAACTTCAATTGCAGAACGAATGAAGGGTGGAATTCCACATGGTCATGGATAATGTAGCTGTGAGGAGCTAACAGTTCTGCCTCCCAAACAAGATTTGGTTTTGCAAATCTTGAAGCTCAGGAGACACTAAGGCAGAGTTTGTGCTAAAGAGCATCAATGGCTATTTTTTTCACTGGCATGTTGGGATCACTTAAAAGAACATTTGTTTTATTAGATTGTTTTGCTGGGTGCTTTCAGATACCATATACAGTTAACTATAAAAATACAGCTTGCTAGATGGTGTCAGGACTTGTGCCTTTGGTAACCAATACCTAAGAAAAATACTATTACCTCACACATATCCTGAGTGATGGTCAGAGACAAAGAATGCAAAATGCTAGTTCTCTAACGCATGTGCAAATGGGCTGGTTTCTATTGCAAAACCCCAATCTTTGGTGGCTGCACTGCCCCACCAGGATGTCCAAGCAATCTAGTACACCAATCGCAGGGTAAACAGGCTGCCTTACAGGACTCTGGGGCAAGGAGCCTGCTGCTCTTGCTGTCTGTCAATGCCCGTAGGTGTCACCAGCACTTACTGGGAGGGGAGCCAGGAGATGAAAAACAAATCAAATAAAACAACAAGAAAATAACTTTCCCTTAGCAATTAGCACGTGAGATTTGCTTCTCTACTCCTTCACCTAGGAAGTATTTTTCAACAATTGCTGTTTAAAAAAATCTAGGTGAAAGGGATCCACACATTTTAAGATGCAATTGTGGAGTGACCATTGCAGAGCACAGTATCACCTTTCCCGGGCTCTGCAATGGGAGGAATCACATCACAGCCTCCACCCCAATTTCTCTTCAAAACCAGTCACACTCTTCATGGGATGGGGTTTTACAAAGCAGCCTGTCACTTTTCAGGTGAAATTTCCAGCCACAGTTTTTAAGGTGCTAATAAACATAAGAGAGCTTGGTATCACTGAGCTTTTCAAGAAATGACCTGAAATAAAAAAACAACTTATTTGTCTAAGTGACAGTAAAGGTAGCAATATTTTTAAATTGAAGGAGATATGCACTACTTTGAGACATTGTCAGAGAGCCATACCAGTGAATCCCATGGAGGCACCTTCTCTTGACTGCCTGCGGAGCCCGTCTTCATCTCGGAAATCGATGTAAACAAGGTCTATTGCTTGAAGGCCAAATGCCTTTGCTGTCACTATTATTTTTTGCCTGGCATATAGAATATCATGAGTTTCCTTACTGCTCGTGGCACCTGTGAAAATAATGAAAACAACAAAAAAAAAAGCTGACAGGATTGTTTTAAAGTTTCTGCTTTAAATATTTTCTGTGTAATTAATGAAAGTTCAATATGTAATTTAACCAATTTAGAAAACAAATGAGGGGGTGCAAGGCTATACTGTCAAAATGATACTCTTACAAGGAAAAAAAAAAAAGCTGCTTTAGCAATAAATAAATAAATACCTCTTTCAGCACTAGCCCATAGAATTCAGATTTTGGGTCAGTTAAAATCAGAAAGTCTAAGCCTGAAGTCAGTGGAATTTTTGTCTGGTAAGGACTGTGAATTTGGGACTAACATGAAGTAATTATTTGATTCTATTACTTACTGTATGCTCAGTGAGATGCAAGCAAAGCTTTATACAAATTGATATACTGGGTACAACTAAATGGTTAAAAAATTCACACTGAGAATAGAATTGCACTTTCCTTAGTTGTGATTCTTGTCACAACTGATGTCCTAAGCTGAATATTTAATCTGTAGTATTTGGATAGAAAATGATGGTGGATGACTTCTGAGAAGAAACAAAAGTATTCACGAGACTTCATGTGCTCACAGAGCACTAGTTAAGCAACGAGCTCATGTGAAGACTGGTGTGAAAAACCCCCAAACTGTTCCCTTTTCTTAGAGTAACTATTTAGACACAGATTTCTAATGTGTAATGAAAATTTTAGTAAAACAGTGGTAATTTTTACATTAACATACTTATTTTTAATTTAAGTGTTGATAACTCTGACTATTATTTTTAAGCTGAATTGAATTAATAAGAAGCTAAGTGGTCTTTCATTAAATAGATGTTTAAATACTTCTTATTTTTAAGGAAGACTAACAGTGCTTCCATATAGATTCCTGGCTGTATTGACATGGGACATATTTAAAGTAAATTTATGAAAGCAAAATGTAACAAGAGAGTATTTGTACATGATGTCAAAAGCCTAGCTGATAATTATCTGTAAAACCATGATGAAACAGACACCACAATTTTAGGATTTTAAATGTAGTTCTTAATAGCATGTGCATGTTTCTTATAGATATAATATTTTTAAATAATTTCAGTGACTCAACAGGTTTTGGTTGGTTTTGCTGTTGGTTTTTTTTCACTCATTTTTGGTACTGCATGGCAAGCAGCACAGGAAAGTGTCAGTGCCCTGTAACACACAGGGACCACATTTTGATGTCCCAGTGATGCATTTGGCATTGAAAAAAATGAAGGAGAAAAGTGAAAATGTAAAATGAAGAATCAAGTGCTGTCATTACTGTAATTACTGAGGTTTGGAAAAGCAATAGCCAGAAACCACACCAGGCTTCTCCAATGCAAATGCCATACGTTAACATGTGTAGCGAACAGACAGGTAACAACCTATGCTGGCACGGAAATCCTCTCCTCCAAAGACGACTGCATCCAAATGAAAGCCAACCTGGGATCCTGTTCTCACTGCTTCTTCACAGACAGCCTTCAAATGAGAACAGAGTATTAATTTCGACAGAATTGCAGGATGCAGGGAGCCTGCAGAGGATATTACAGCAACTTGATGTTAGCAAAATCCTTCAGTTAAAATTGCTCCTGTTAAGCCAAGCCATTGTAGGTGCTGGACTATGCACGGTGCTTTAAAATGACTCAGCAAAAGATAAAACATTTTCTTTCTGTAAGCACCTATATGCTTAGACTGTGTAAATACAGGAGACCACAGCAGATTCCTTACCTCTGGTTGAGATAAATGCCCTGGGTATCATTGAGATCAGTACTTCTGATGTGTATGTAACAACATGAAAATAAACATTTCTCAAATACTGCTTAAAAGCAAGCAAAAAGCTTTAAATTCGATTCGTTTGACATGTAATATATCTTCATGAGAAATGGAAATAAAGATCAGAATATCTTGTATTAAATAAAGAATATGAACGGTTTCAAACAATTTAAGATTCCCCTAAGGGGTATAAGGATTCCTTACAGGATTGTCAATTTAAAATCTTCTGCTACATATAACTAAAAACTAGGTACGGACTTAAATAATGCAACAAGTGCTGCAGAAAACTATTAAAATAAATGCAAGAAAAAGGTTGCTGCTGTAGTGACTCTAGGAAGAAGTGCATTTCCAAAATATTACTATTTTATATCCATGTTTGGATAATATTCATATTTTTTTAAGGCTAAAGTACGTGGAGAGAATCAGATGTAATGACCAGCTCTAGTAATGGGTGTTCTTCTATGGCAGCTGGTGGGACAAGAAATTATTCTTTACCAGAGTGCTTTAAAAGGCAACTCTCCTGCCAACATCAGGAACTGCAATATTAAAAATTCCACTACAAAATGCTGTAGATGAAGGAAAAAACCCTCAGCTGGCTTAAAATATTATTTAATTCTGTGTATGCACTCTGGACAGGAGGGTTGGTTACTATTTGATTACTGCTTTATTATGTTCCAAGATATGTTAGCATGTGTTGTAAGATAAATGGCTGTATCAAACGAGCGAGCTGCCTGTGAGGCCCGCCGGTACTTCTGGAGGTGCTTCTGATGTCTGTGCCCTCAGCTGGTCCAAAACTTTTCCCTTAGAGCCTGGGAGGGGAATGCTGAATTCCTGGTGCATGCACAAGATCTTCCATTTCATTACCCCACTGCTTTGCCTTTTGGAAAAACCTGGGCTTGATAGTAAAGGTTGGGGTGTAATTTATATTAAAATGGACTTTAAAAATAAGAATTTGTCTAAAATTGCCCTAAAAAGGAGCATGTTCTTCAGATATTTCCTGTTTTCAAAGTTAAGTATACTTCTAAGCTTAGCATTAAACACCCTATCATACACACACACAAAAAGATAAATGAATTTTGGTTGTCATATTATGTATAGAAAACATTGCAAAGATACCAGTTAGCAATAGTACAATGATGATAATTCTTTTTTCTACTTAAATGTTTTACAAAACTTGAGTTCAGTAGCTACTAGAGACCCCAGAGTATTGCGTATTCCAAATATTTGGAGAAGCTGATTGCCACTCCAAGTGTGTTAAAAATGGTAACAGTAATGCAGAGAGGCTTTGTTATTTGGCATGAACTATTAGAACTGTTCTGCTACTGAAAATATTTTGAATTTATGAAGGTCTTTACAATACAAACATGAGAGTTCAATGTACAAATGTTTTAGGGGATCGAACAATATGTTTAGTGTTTTTAAATCTCTCCTTTGATTTAATTAGGAGGGGACTGGGGAGTATTCTGCTTATCCTAGTTTGCTGAGATGGCAATATATGAACACATCAAGACCTGCTTACCTTAAAATTGAGCAAGCCCACTGCAGTTTCCACAAAGGGGATAAAATTCATTGGTTCTACAAGTGTTCGGCCTTTTAGGTGATGTAAGAATTTGTCTGAAAACTAAAACTAGACAGTATAAGCTATCAGAGAGGAAAAAAAAAAGCACCAAAACTGTCTACATGAGTATACATCACGTTACATTTTCACCTGGCTATAACAAAACCCCTCCCCACCCCAAAACCTTATAAGCCACAACAAAAACAAAGCAGATTTTAACAAGGCCTGCGATTCCAAACTGCAGCATTCCCATACATTTCTAAGTTTAGAGGCTGGTTTGCAAAAAAACCGCCAAATATCCAGGCTCAGCACCTCTCACCCTGGCTCAGTGGAATGCAAATCCGCGGGCCCGGGAAAACAATGAAGTGCTGCTGTACCTGAGGTCCGGTTTTGTTTCAGGCCCAGCACTGCCATCACTGGAAGTGCTCCCCGGCTTTCTAAGTGGCATCCGTATTATTCATTACAGCACCATTACCCTTTTGTTCAATAGGCTTTTCTTCATAATTTTTTAGCTTACCTAGGAAGGCCTTAAAAAGGAAGTTTAATTCTTTGAAGACCAAAGCTTGCCAATTTTTTCCATGAGACCAGTTCACAGCTAGCTCTGAGCTGCCAGTGGGGTAGCCCAAATTCCAAAATCTATCATCTGGAAACATACAAAAGCTCTTGCACAGATTTTTCCCCTTTCAAAAGGGGGGGAAAAAAAAAAAAAGTGTGTGTGTGTGAACCATCAGCTCTATATTGTAAATCTGTTATGTCTGTCCAGAGTAATTTGCGTGGACATAAACATATTTCAGGTATAGTGAAAATATGTTAGTAAATAAAGACAAAAATAACATATGCATATATTTTAAATTTAAGGAATATTCGACTATTAATGGATATCAAAGGAAAGGGAATTTTAATCATCTCTCCATTCAGTCTCAGTTGGGTAAATCATATCTAAGAGATTTGCATAAATATAAACCATCAAAGACTTTTCATCTTCAAAGGGGGTTTCAAGACCCTATAAGCTTTGTACTGTAATCATCGCAGGTCACAACCCTGCAGGAATAAGGCTGCTATGGCAACATAAAAAACTAATGCTTAAGGCTTAGCATAATATTCTGACTAATAGAAAGGAAACTCATTTTAAAAGCTGGCAGCCTATTTACCAGAAGCTGGATTAGAGGTGTTATTTCCCCTTTTAGCTTCCCCCCACCACCCCTCCCCCAAAAGAAGGAAAATCTAATCACCCAGATCTTGCAAAAAAAGCTTTCCAGCAATTTGCAGAAACTTTACAATTAGGCCAAAATAAATCACAGCTTTCTTCGATGAAGGATTCTGCCCCTTCCCATCCCTGCTTTGCATCATCACCGTGGCCCTCTCAGTAACTTTTCTCTGGAGAAGAGAATTCCACCCAAAAATGTGCAAGGAGGAAAAAAAAGTAATAATCAATGCAATTCACATGTGCAAGTGTACAGTATGGCAGGTACTATGTTGACAGAAAACAGTAAACTTCATCCAGACAGATGAAGAAAATGAGGTAATATAATGGCATCAGCACATATTCTTATGACTCCTATCTGATTTTTATTAAGTTAAAAAAAAGTAAAAAGCTCTACTGTGCTTGTATTTTAAGTGCCCGTTAATGCAGCAGAGCTCTTCTTTTATTTTAAAATATTTTAAAAGTCACACTCTTGGGATTTTCGCTATCTTTTTTTTTTAAGGTAAACATAAAAAAAAAAAAAAAGCAGCACATGTTTAATTAAATATTGTGTCCCTTCCTCTCCCTTTAAAGAAATTTGCAATAAGCAGCAATACAAAAGGTAATGAGTGGAGAAGTTTCAATTAATTTTTCCTTTTTTTTTTCAAAAGGAGACGATTAAATGTTTCCGGCCAAGTAAAGTGTTCATTTCAGGGAGAAAGGGGAAGGAAAAAAAAAGAAGGCGGAGGGGAAAAAAAAACCCACAAAGCTTGGGGAGGGGATGAAGTAGCAAGGCCTCAGCAATTCTTTCAATTCCAGTGCACACCCAATAGTGTGTCGGGAAGAATGCACACTGGTCGGGATTTGTGGGAGAATTGTCCCGCCACAAAGGAGGGAGAGTTACGCTTGTTATAGTCCAATAAGCCATGCCAGTCAAACAAGTACCCACACTAGGGACAAAAGGAAAGCAAGAGATTCTCACACAAAAGAAAACAAGTAAGCCCATCTTTTAGTTGTGCATCAGCCTCCAGGTTTTCTGCTGCACATAAATAAAAATGAAGGGGGGGGTTGGGTTATATGGGGGGTGTAGGGGGGAAATAAACAGCTTCTGGGAGGCTGAAAAAATCATGCCAGAGTTAATTTGGGGAGGTTTGGGGAAAGAAGGCAGTGGTGTTAAGCAGAGCGTGCTCTTTGTGTGAGAAGGTTGGTCAAAGTGAGAGGGGAGGAAAAGGCAGACCATGGGGCAGAAGTTGTTGGGGCTGGCTTGTTTTCCATGATGGAAATCAAAGTTAGCAAGAGGGGAAAGGTGGAAGGGGATGAGGGGACAAAGAGGCCTCGCATCCCACCTCCCCACAAAACCTACTTGGTGGCAGCAAGGGCCCTGCCACTTTGGAAGCATGAGTGTTCACTCCTGACAAGTTATGTCTAACACTTACACGGCTGTAAACCCAGAGCGGTGCACTCCGGTTAATTTAATTAAATGCTGATGGAAGGGGACAGTGCACCTTCCATGGCGAGTGGCAGAGGCTGGAGGGGCCATGCCATGGAACGGATGGGGCTCGTCATGTACCCAGCAGATTTGCTTGGTTGTACCCGAGCTCAATGGTTTGATCAAGGTTAGATGCTGAGATTAAAACAGATCCTAATACTCCTGCCTGCTTTTCATCACAGCTTGCACGCGTGCTAGCGGCTCAGCTAGCGGTTTGCAAAAAATATAAAAGTGAATAATCAACTGTTACTCCTTTACTGGCATGCTACAGCAGTAATGGTATATCTAAACAAACATCCCCCTTTCTTGACAATTAAAACAATTGTCAAGAACAAAAGCATAATTAGGCCTATTTCAAAGTTTTCTTAAGTAATTTGACATGCCAACCATTTACATTTCAGGTTTTTATTGGCTGAAAAGTCAGTCGTGAAACACAAACACACCTGTCAGCAATTAAAAAGGAAGAAATAGAGAACTGTTCAGGAAATAATATCTGTGCTAATTAAAAACACTAGTTAAAAGCTTCCTGTTTGTTCCCCTAGTTGCCCCAAGGAGTGACCTTCCACCCAACCCATTTTTTCATATGTCGCTAACATGGTTTCCCCATCTCCTGCGTACAATGCATGTAACTAAGGCTCACAGAGAGGGACAGTAATTTTGCTTGTTAGGGTAGTTAGAGAAGAGTCAGATATTTATGCTTCTGTTTTTGCTAATATACTCTGACATCAGTATTGGCTCCTCATCGACCGTGGGAGAAATAAACTTGGTTTTCTTTATACATTCAACATGTTCCATGTATGCTTTTTATACAGCACATCTTACACACATTTAAATGGGTGCATTCCCCAATTACCTTAGCCAAGGAACAGCATGACATGGTATTTGCAGCCTTCCTCGTAACTCAGAGTCATTAATCTATATGCCTGTGTGAACCTGACCCAACAGCTTCAGTCAAAGGCTACTGTGTTGTTGGTACTCACCCATCTTATTTCTTCAACATTTTCAACCTTTGGCAGCATCATGCTTGAAGGAAGGGTCTTGGACTGAAAAAGCACCTCTAGATCTTCTTCTGCGAGGCCACTGGACACTGAGTTTATCCTAACACATTTTTCAGCACGGCCAAAGTTAAACTCTTCAAGGGTTTTCACAACAGTCTCTCTTGCTTCTCTCTATATATGAGTTTAGAGGCACAAAAAGAGAAAAACAAAGCATGTTTTCTATTGAGAGGAAGGTGCACTGAGCAGAAAATTTGAAACAACACGGGGAAAAAGCTAGACAGCCAGTATACTTAGGTGTCCCCAAAATGTCTGTCACTCTTGGACTTCCACTGAAGCAATTATCACCAGCACCTCACGATTTTACCTTCCTTGTTTCTTTACAGCTGGTAAATAAAACACTTGAGTTTTTTGTCTGAGTATTTCTACACCAGCACTTTTAGAAGACAAGGCTTTTGTGTCCACTCGTGCTGAACATGTCTAACAAACACAAATCTTTAGACTGACCACAATGTCATGCTATTAAATTTGCATTAAAAAAGTAATTTTTGTAATGCATCTCAATACTGCCTGTATGTCACTAAGCACAGATGTACATCTACTTCTTTGGTTTTGCTGTATAAATCTTCCTTTTCTCCATTTATCGAAGGTGTATGAAAGACTGTGGTAGAGTTGACAGCTCACATGTGAAAACAACACCAAAATAACTTGGAGATTTTCCTTGAACCAAGTATAAAGCTATTCTCCTGCTGGCACAAAAGCAAATCTCCAGAGACACACAATTCCCATCGCCGTTTGTTATTTTTGTGAATGTAAATTGTGTTTAATAGTTGATTTGCATAAAGAATACTTGCGCGCTTTTCTGAAATGCACACTTCTTCTGGAGAAGAAGGAGGGGGGAAAGGAGGGCACTGGGATCCCTGCTTCCTGCCAACTGCAGTTTCAACCCCAAATTCCTTCCACTCTTCAACAGCCCCTAACAAATTTGCATTGTCAAAATGCACACTTACCAAAGGTAATTTCATTTGTGAAGAGTTTTTATGGGGCTAATAAAACTTTAAAGCTCCTGACTCATGGAGGTTCAGGAGCGACTTTAACAATATGCAGCCACTGAATAGAGATGCTTTTCAAGAGAACAGGCAAACTCAAGGGGAAAAAAATACATAAAAAATAAAGAAAATAATCCAAGTTAGCATGGAGGCTAATACCAGTCAGTGAGCCAGCACATGACAGTAGATTTAAACCAGACGGATGCAAATCTGTGCCGGCAAGAGGGGCAGAGGTGGTTTCCCAATGTGGTCTGAGTTAAGCAGTGTGAGGGAACAGTAGCTTACAGTTGTCAGGTCCGATCAGAAAAGGGTCTCCCAGGCCGGTTTAAGACAGCTCTGCAGTGTACTGATTTACAGGGCTGGGACCTCTGATAATTAGAGTAAGTTTAGAGAAAAGCAAGTGATGGCTCTAACTGGTTAAAAGGAAGGAATAATGAAGCAGAAAGTTAATGAAATCTGAAGCAAACAGCCTCCAGCTTGGGGCTACAAGCCGTGCTCCTCCGAAGGCAGGGAGCATATGCCTGTTAATCGGCCAGACGGGAGCGAGGCGCACATGTACGCATCCCTGTGCTGCGATCAAGGGGCACGTTCCGAGGTAATCTCTGGAAAATACAACCCAAAATGTTCAAACCACTGTGAATGGACTCTGGCTGGGGCCATTAGGAAAGCCACACAAAGATGCACGCAGTTTACTACAAACACATCCAGCTGGAAGACAGCTCCAGTGTGCGGCCGTCTGAAATGGTTCTTCCGAATGAGGTAAACTGAACCATATGAGGCCAATAGTGGGTAATATAAATCCCCTGTGTTTTCCTTTGCTGACCAGGGGTAATGGGTTTCTCAGGCTGGGCTGAAAGTTTCTGGATATGATGCAGAAGGGTAGTTTAAAAACGTGATCCAAACCAATTTATGCTTTTAATTAAAGTCAGATTATCACCATTTCAGCACACACTGATCCAATTTGCAAAAGAAAGATCTCCCCAAATTATCCACTAAGGCAGCATCTGATTCCAATAGACATGTGTGTGAAGGCACATCTCTAGCAAACTTACAGCCTAATTCATTATGATTTTTTTCACATTATAATAATGAGCAGTAGACTGTCTCATTAGCTATTTTTCTCCTCAGGCTGCAAACTCCCTTCCCAAAAAAGACAGATCATGTCTTTCTAGGTATATTTCCATACAAAACACTTATTAACAGGCTGTTGCTGTTATCAATTTACATAAACTAAATGTGCAGCCCTCTGGTATGCATCCCAAAAATAACCAACAACTTCACTGAATTTATACCAACCAACAAACATGGGGAGGGGGTTGTTGTTTTTTTCCCATATTTTAATAGAAAATATGTTGCTATGTTAGTTAACACACCCATGCCATCTGTTGGGTTGAGAATTGATGCGTTTTCTTAGAACCACTACGGTTTAGATCTGTCTGCCTAGATACCCCAGGAATGGAAACGTTTCCCTTCCATGATGAAATACTCCTAGTCACTATAGTTTCCACATCAGGATTCAGTTTACATTTTCAGTTGTGTAACAAACTGAGAGTACCCGGTTGGCAAAGTCAGAGGGGGCTGAGGGGGCTGACTCAGTGCCTACCTTTCCTGCAATGGAGAAAATCCCACTGATGTTATTGGGGTATACCAGGTCCCCACCCAGGCTTCCAATAAAACATTTCATGGGTAAATAAAAAAATGTACTAAAGCCTCTGACTAAATGTACTAAAAACATGGAGAAAAGGGAAAGCTCTTTCTGCCTTGTTATGCAGTGAAATGTAAATGCTCTTCTTATAGTGGGAAGAAGCTAAAATTTTAAGCTATGTAAACTGCTTCAACATTGTAATAGTAGAGGAAAAACAAGTAGTCCTTAATTGAATAATGTCTTCATATCAGTAGACACAAGAATAAACACATTTTCCAAACTGTATGTAAAATCCCAGCCAAGAATGGTCGAACTAGAATTTTTAAGGAATGGTGAAATAAATTATTTGCCCTGTTCTTCGCACAAGAACTACAACACTGGATAATACTCTGTTATGACTGAGTGGCTGATAAAGAAATAAACCTGGTCATTAAGTAAATTATTCCATCCCCAGGTAGCTTGGGATGGTGTTATCCTCATTGAGACCAACATGATTTGGGTTCTTTATCAAACTGAACAAGAGAGAAAGTCAACAGAGAGCTTTGTGGGAAACATTTATCTTATTGAAATATGTTAAATTTCTAGCCTGTGCTGGAAAAAAATAGACAACACATTAGTCAGGGTGGCTACTTTTGCACCCCTTCTGTTTGATTCCAAGGAGGACACAGGAAGATGTTCGTTACCACACGCAGCTACGCCAACCGGAGCAGATAAAGGTTTCAGTGACGCAGCATCGCCGACAGCTCCACCGGCACCCAGACACACAGACACTGAAATTAAAGATGGGGATATGCGTGCTGCCGGCTCGATTGGCACCCATTAAACCTAATAAGTAACCATCCTCACGAGCTTCTAGCTCTGAATTATCAGATCTGCAAAGAAAACAACATCCGTCCACTTTTACACTCCAGTGGAAGAGGTGGTCCCTCGCGGCAGGGCTACGCAGTCTCGCCATCTGGAGAATAAATCGAGTGTGAAGTACAGTATAGTTTGGGACCAAGCTCCGTGGCAGCAGCCCAGCAGTTAGTTAGTTCATTAGTCCCAAACTTGCGGGGATTAGTGCGGTATCAGATCTACTGTCGGATGGGATCAGGCAGGCAGAGCACAAGACTTGGGGAAGGGGGTAGTGGTGAAGGAGGAGCCCCTTGGACTTGTTTATAAAACTACATAGTAGAAATGCACCTAAATAGGTACCTTTGGTAACAGTATTATCATAGTCCCCTACCAGCTAAATCAGCACCTTTCCTTTATTTTCCTTTTTTTTTTTTTCTCTCTGGGTTTTTTTTTTTAGTGATATGTCAAGACAGAGAAATTTCCGCTTCAACACAGAAGGAATGTCACGGAGCTGGAAGCTCAGCCACCCACTCACCCTGGACACAGTGTTAATACAGCAATAATGAAGCAAAGATAGTCAAATTAACAGAACTTGGGGGACTGCAACAGCAGGCAGAAAAATGACATTTTCTTCTTTCTTTTCGAACTGGTATGATAGCCCTCAAAACAGTTTTCCAACACTATGGTTTCTAGACCTGATTTTGGGGACAAAATATGTTTAGCTTTATCTTTCTTGCCTAGTCTTACCCCTTTTTGTTTTTTTCTCTCAAGACCTTCAGGTCTACATGTAAAAAAGTGGATATACTTAAATATATGTTTATGTATAGATCTCATCCTGTTAACATATTTTTGTAATAATTCTTCAAATGGAAACGTAAATATACAATGCACTAAAATGGCAGGCCAGAATCTATCGTCCTCACTGCCATGACAAATTTGCGTGTTTCACACAGCAGAGGAAAAATTAGTTAGTATAATCACAATTCAGGGTTTTTTTTGGTGACATGGTAAAAACATACAATTGTGTTTTTAATGTTACTTCCCTGGAGTGGTTTGTTTACAGGGCTCTTGTCACTTACATTAGCACATATCCTAAGAATGCATCTCTCAAATAAGATTTTGCAGAAGCACACAAATATTACCATACCCCCAGTGCTTTTTGGGCAAAACTGAGTTTCTGCAGAGGGAAGACCAGGCATTTTTTACATCCTCCATCAGCGAAGTGATGCTATACAGAATAATACTTCTTTTAGCTTCAAAATCACAGATGAGAACAGAAAGAGAAAAGACAAAATACATTTGTTTTTAAGGAAACCAAGAGAACGGTAACCACTTAAAGGAATTCCTTAGGAAGTTTAAAAACATTTTTTCTTCTGGTTCAAAAGGAAACATACCAAGCCCACCATGTAATCCTAAAGGAAAGAAGGGGCAGCAGTGAGAGGAGGAAGGAGAATAAGGCCTCCATCATGTGTTATGGTGTTTCTCCTCTGCATTTCAGGCAAACACATATTTTAGAGCACTGCAAGATTCAGATGCTTCCATTTGTCTTTCCTGAAATCTTCAAATTCTTTCTTTAATAATTATTTGGGCTAATCAATCCTTTCTTTTTTTATACCAACCTTTTCACTTTTCTGAGAGATTCTTCA